GTCCCTTTTGCATGTTGAAACTGCATGTGAAGGCCAGCTGGGTGAAACTTGTTTACCCACTGAAGGTCAGGGCCGTCAGCTGCTAGGTGGGTGTCCTCAGACTCCCGCATCTCTAGCCTTCACCCTTTCCTGTGTGCTCTTCCTGTAGGATCATCCCCGACTCCAACTGGCGGTCATCATTTAGAATCTGGAAACTTTCCGCAAAGCGTTCCAAGATGCTGACTGGGAAAGTTTGCTTTGTGCAATCTCATAGAAAATGAAAATAAAACAAACCTATTCTTTATAATTGGTGGTTTTTGTGGTTATTTCTGCTTGAAGATGCCGTTAGGAACACATCATCAAGATGGTTAAATCATTTTTCGATGGTGTTGGTGGGTTTTCTCTGATTCATCTTCCTTTTGACCAAAGGCAGCATTTTCAAGACAGCTGACTTAGCCTTGGGCTATGATTTATTGCCTTAACAGAGAAAATCTAACTGGCTCACATGAGAAGCAAATCCATGACCAATGTTGCCCTAAAATCTTTTTAAGTTGAAGGCAGTTGACTCTGCTATTTGAGCAATAGAAGATGTATATACAGAAACAGTTTAGCATTATAATAAACACTTGCAACACTGTTTTGACACAATTTAATTCCCATTGACCTTGCTTCTTATTTCACTTAGAATAGACAGAGTTAGAAGAGAACTTCCACATCATCTCCCCCATCATATCTACTTACCTACTCTGCATCTGTGCTGGTATATTTTCCTTCTCTCCTATTACAGTGAATAATTGTTCTAAGGCCAACCTTTACACTTGCGCTTTAGACCTCATTCCCCCTTGCCTCGGCAGGAACATCTCTTCGCCTCACTCTTCTGCATTACACAATTCCCCCTCTCTACTGCATCAGTCCTATTAACACACAAACATGCTGTAATTTCTCCTATTGTAAAAACCAAACAAAACAAACACACAATCTTTCAGCACTACCGCATTTTTCTGCTTCTCTTTAGAGATAAACTCCTCAAAAGAAAGCCATCTATACTTGCTGTGTTAAATTCCTCTTTTTCATTGCCTCTTGAATCCTATCCGTCAGACTTCCCTCCCACTATTAAGTTCAAGGATAAATTCTCAGTTTTAAACTTTCTTGACATAGTGGCATTTAACACAGTGGATGACTCTCTATTTACACATGGTTTCATTTGACTTCTGAGGTATCACCTTCTCTTGGTTCTGCTCCTATCCACTGGCCATTCTTCCACTGTCTTCTTTGATGAATCTTCCTCATCTCTGCAAGCTAACTCTAACTCTAAATATTGGCGTGCCCAAGGGCTGGCTCTTGTCTTTCTTCTCTTCTTTATTTACACATACACTCTAGATCTCTCATCCAGTCTCAGGATTTTAAGGATCAATCATATGCTGATGACTCCCAAATTCATATTTCCAGCTCAGATCTCTCCCCTGAACTCCAGATTCATATGTCCAACTGCTGACCTGATATCTCTCTTCTTGGATATTTAACAAGCATATCAAACTTGTTGTTGTTGTTAGGTGCTGTCGAGTTGATTCCGACCCATAGGGACCCTATGTACAACAGAACGAAACACTGCCTGGTCTTGTGCCATCCTCACTATTGTTGCTGTGTTTGTTGAGCCCTTTATTGCAGCCACTGTGTCGACCATCTCATTGAGGGTCTTCTTCTT